TTGCAAAAAAAATGTAGTTTCTGTTGCCTTTGGGCTTAACCGTTCTTTCTCAATGTAATCTCAGTTACAAGTATTCATTTTAGGCATGCATTATACAATTAACTGTGAGTTCTAAATTAAGTTTATAATTACTGAGAATGAAGCTGGTTGTTGTTACAGTTCTCCATGCACTGTAATGCTTTTCAGTTTATTTAACAAGTATTTCTACAGTGACATTGTCATTTGTCCTCATGCCCTACAGCAAAAATCAGTCGTGCTGTCAGAAATATATCACTATCTGAGGAGTTTTTGTATTGTTTATTCAGTTTGCTTTTGTGTTCATTCAAGCACAGTAATAATATTGGAAAAACAATATGTGCTTTTATGGTTTGTAACAGTGAGAAGCTCCATGAAGCTAACAATGAGCTACAAAAGAAACGAGCTATTATTGAGGATTTGGAACCAAGATGCAATAACAGTTGTGAGTTACCTGTGCAGTCCATTTGTTTTCTTCATAAAGTATTTCATGTGCAGGTCTTTAATTATGGAGGTGCAAGATAAACAAAATGTACGTTTTAAATGGCACTGATATGTATGTTGTTAATTTCTCTGGAAGCTACTGTGACCAAAAAGATGCTTCTAACCCTTGAAATGCAGGGGATCACATTTGAGAGACCACCATAGCAGGAAATGACAATGGTCGTAGCAGTACTGAGTCACTGTCATACCTGTCATTGAACCTTAGCTGTTCAGAACTGTCATGTCTCCCAAGACCCTAATTGATGATGGCCCTTGCTGCCATCATCAGGTTATTTTTACTCCCAATATATATTCCTTCAGTGTTTTTTCAGAATAATGTTGTAATTTGAGAAAATTTTTGGATACTGGTCAAAGAGAATGTAGGATATATGTCATATTGCTCAGATGATATCCAGAACGCAGCATCCAGTTGTTTTTTAGCACATTAATGCTACTTTTTTCCTGAGAAGTACTGAAGGAGGTAGATTGGTTTTTTCCAAGCCTACTTATTATAAAACAAGGCAAAAGATTGGAACCAATGACAGCTTTCCTGATTTGTGCCAAAGTGATTTTATTCATAAAGAGATCGAGGAAGATAGAAATATCAGTTCAGTATTCATTACATACATTCTGTATCCAAAAAGAATTTTCATTTGTGTTGAGCTAAAACTGCCAAATATGTTATAAATTCCACATCTTAGGAAATGTTAAAACACTTGGAAATGAGGTTCAGGGACATGTGTAGCTGATAAACACATAATTCTTTTGTACTTGGTAAGCTTCAGTGCGAGTGTAATAGTCTTCTGGCTCACTAGGTTCTAAACGTTAGGACATATTGAGGCTGCTGTAGTTAGTTTACTGAAATTATAAGTTGCTTTTTAAAAATCTAGGTCTGAACTTTTTTCTTGGTAAAATAAAAATAGTTCTACTTTTATTCCTTTCTTTCCACGCTCAAGAAATGTGTGTGAATTATTTTTTCAGATTATTTTAACTATCCTGGGTATGGCCAAAATGCTCCAGCATTGCGCAAGAATCACGGCACATTTTGAAAAATAGATTCTTGCAATCTTGGAGACCATCTGCTGTTGGTCCTCTTACTGATCAATTCTTACCTGGTCTGGTTACCAGCTTAGTGTTTTCAGAGTACTTGGAGAGAAAACTTTAGGAAAAACATGAAAGAACATTTGAAAATGAGGCTGCAAAACAGATGGACTGCAGGTTGCCTATTATCTAACATTGTCTGAGAACCAGATGTCAGTGTTATATGTTATTTGATCCAGGACGGTGCAATTGATCCCCCCCCCACCCACCCCCCACCCCCAAGATGTGAGAAGATGTAGAGAAGACATATAAGCAATACTGGCTTGACATATTCTTATATCAACACAGGAAAAAGCTCTGCAATGAAATTGACCCACTGGTCTGCATTGCTGCTTAAGAAAATGTGGGGTAAAAATTAAATGGAGTATATTCGTATCACAAGTCTGATAAATTGTGTCCAGTGTTACAGTTCAGCAGATTTAAGCAGGAGTTGTGCCTGTTAAGAATTATTCCTCTTACACAAAATAGGAAAACTAATATTTATCTCAGTTACAATACCAAGATGTTATGGAATCTGTAATTCATTAGTAAATTCATTTTCTAAGTGTGTTCAGTAATAGGATTGATTTATGATTTCATTTCTCTCTATTTTTTCATAACTTTAAAAAACTCAAAATTTGTGTACAAAACAGCCACCTCATGAGATTATGTAGGAGTACACATTTTTAACATATTTCTGAGCTGTTCAGTAATTAAAACTATGGTGTATACTACATCGGGTTCCTTATGTTAGCTTTTCTTAAGTGAAACAAATTTTAGCTATGCCTCCAATGTCTGTTGAAAAAACATGAAAATAAACATAATATAATTATGTTATTCTCCAATGTGTGCATCTTCTGACATAAAGCACTCAAAATTGAAGAATTACAAGAAGCTTTACGGAAAAAGGAGGAGGAAATGAAGCAAATGGAAGAGCGATACAAAAAGTATTTGGAAAAGGCCAAAAGTGTAAGTATGTGTTTCATGTTAACGATCCCTCTCTGACAGAGTGCACCATGTGTCCACTCTGCAGGAATAAAAATGAAAGAGCTATCTGTAACACAGACTAGCAAGTAAAAGAGAAGGAAGGCCCAGTGAGTTCTTTGTATCTTCTTACTGTTACTGTACCTAATACTGATTAGTTCTGCAGAAGATTTTACCCTGTTTTTGTGTTCATGACTGTCACCTTTTGCTACCTATCCTCAAGCCCTTCTGATGCCTCTGTATGAATGTATACCCACTGCTATAGATTTTTGAGTCGCCCAGACAAACCTTTTTAAGAACTTTCATGTTGGCTGATGACAAAGAGAGGGTGTTAAACTGTTTCTGATGCTATGATAACCTATTTCTTGGTGGAAATTCTTCCGGACTTCTGTCTCTGAGTGACAAATGTAGAGATAAGCTAAAGTGGTGTCTATGCTAGACTGGCAGTATAGAAATAACCAAAATAGCTGTGTTGTATTTTAGAATTGGAGAACCACCCATCTAAACCAACTCAAGGGAAGAAAGCTCTATGAGCAAAAGTAGTCTTTAATTGGCATTTGTGCTGGGACTTCTGGCACAGTTGTCATGAGGTGTTCTACCTCTTTGTACACACAAGTACAGCTTAGTAGCACCAAGTACAGGCACAGCTGGACCAACAAACTCTGATTTTATCAGTTTGGCAGGGAGGGAAAAAGGAAGTTTGGGATTCTTTCCTTTACAGGTGGCTGGATCTGTTTATGTGTGTTTCTGGATGGTGTAAGCTTCTTCGGTGCTCAATCAGTAATGTCTGTCTTACCTGGAGCAGATAATTTGATACACTTTTCTATCAATATAGCTTTTAGCTACATGGAATTTCATCAGGCCCTAATTGCTCACATAAATTGCTTACTCTTTTTGAGGGGCTCAGAATTTACAGGCAGAGGCAATTTCACATGTGCCAGAACCATCTTTACCAATTTAAATTTGATTTTTTTTTTTCCTTTGTTCATCCTTTGCCCCTGATTTCTGTTCATGTTCTGGTTTAGCTAACTGGTTTAGAAACTGTTTTAATATGGACTCTTACTGATGCTTTTTCCAAGTACAGTGATCTTTTTAACTGAACCACCTTTGAGAGTTGTTACATTTCTCTGATGACGTTCAGCATTGTCTTTGCCTTTACTGTTTAATATACACTTCTGTTGAGAATCTTGCTAATATTTAAGTATGGTGTTGAGAATCTGGGTGTACTACCAGCTTTGAAGTGGCAATATTGTGATCTCAATCATAGTCCCAGTTCTTCTTTTACCATACCTTGATATTTTATTTGAGTTTCTTAAAAGCATACCAGTGCTTTGTCTGATAATGGTAGTATCAATGGTAGTATCTTTGCTGTGGATGCATATCATTACATTGGAATCTGTAAGTAGGTTCCTAATTTGGCTAAACTTTATGCTTCTTTCCTTTACTTCTACTTGTTAGACATTTCAAAAGTCTTCAGGAAGTCTAAGTAATTTTTGTTACCTTTTTTTTACATCTTATGTTGCTGACTGTGTCTCAGAGTATTCCAGCAAAAGACAGAGTCACTATTTCCCTTTTCAATAAAATTTGTTTATTTGTACTGTGTTAGTATGGGGTGTTTTATACAATGATAACATTCATTATTTTAGTTAGGTTAGCTTTTTGTGATCTTCTTACCAACTTTCAGTTTTGTTTTTTCTTTCTTTTTATTGTGAAGACAACTACAATCATTATAGCCTTCCAGTATAGAACCTGTATCCAGATCTAATGTGTATTTTCTTAGAAACATAGTACACTTCTATGAATCTTCCTTCATGAGTACTGTTCAGGAAAAATTACGTACTAAAATTTGAAGCACTGCTTTATGGCTGCATCTGGAGACGATTCTGAAATGGGTAGAACCAAAAGATGTGAAGTCTCTTTCTGTATATCCAGAGGTTGTTAAAATGTTTTAAGCTATTTTGTATCAAAGTTTTAGGAATCTAGGCATTTTGCTGGATTTGTTCTTGGTTTAGCTGTGTTTTCTAGCATTCATGCTACCTGTGATGCATGCTACATATGAACGTAACCAGGTGTCCCTTCATCTTATTAGTGACATAATGATCATGCATGTGCCACAGAATGCTTCTTGGCTTAACAGAGCTATCTAGAGGTCACAGCATCTGGTACTCCAGGTACATGAATCTTGGCATCTTTCCATAAGGACCAAAGTGGTCCTTCCTCAGGTGGGAGGAATTGACAGATAGGTGAACCTCAGCTATAAAGAGAGAAACCTGTGAGAGAATGTTTCTACCACTGTGGCCCCAAGGTAGTGCAGTTAGGGATAGGAACTGCATATGTGAGCCTGGGATACTGAACCTCTTGGGTGTCACTTGTTCCTATTGGTAGTTTTGTTTCACAGCCCTGTAAAAGAGAGCCCAGTTCAGATGCTGTAATGTATTATGGCTGATGTTCAGAGGCGGAGCCTTTGCCATGCTGGCTGTCAAGACTGTTTTACAGGAGTCAACCTCTTAAAACTGCACATCCCTCAGTTTCACATTTTGGGGTGTCATTTCTCACCACTGACATGTTTCAAGTCACTTTTTAATTTCTTAACCTGACATAAAAGGTTGTAATTCTTTGACGTTTTTCCCTTCAATTAAATTGCTTTTGCAGGATTTAATTAAAAGTAAACTGGTTTTCTCTTACAGGTCATCCGTACCTTAGATCCTAAGCAGAACCAGGGTGCAGCTCCTGAGATTCAGGCTCTGAAAAATCAGTTGCAGGAGCGGGACAGAATGTTTCATTCACTGGAGGTAGTAATCCTCGTGTTTCCTGGCAGCTGCATAATTCCTCATTGTTTTTTAAGTATAGACTAACACTTTTATTATACTTTGGTTTTAAATTATGCTTTTTTGATGTTTGTTTTATAGAAAGAATATGAAAAAACAAAAAGTCAACGAGAAATGGAAGAGAAATTTATTGTTAGTGCCTGGTACAATATGGTAAGAACCTCCCAAACTTTTTATTAAAAAAAAAAAAAAAGGAAAGAAACTATTAATGCTAGTTGTTTGTGGGTTGTTTATGACAGTATTCATTCATTTACAGTTTTTTGTTCAAAAAGCATTTTCCAACACACAAACACAAAAACAAATGCTTTTCAATAATTTTAAGTTGGCACTATGTAAGAGTATGTTCCTGTGATAACCTTGGGGTAAAGGAAAAAGAACGTTTGCTATTTTCAAGTTTTAAAACCAGAAATGGTACTTTCTAGAGGGAAGAATACCTCAGATACTATTGCGGAATTCCAGCCCTTCAGTTACACTAAGGTGACTTAGAGTGCTCAAATTTCGTTTCTTACTCGATTCTTTGCTCAGGTCTTCCAGTTATTTCTAATGAAAGGGCACAAGAAAAGCAATACAGCTTACTTGCTGCAGTTAGTGCTCTGACAAATGACCCCTTTAACTTGGGTGCAAGTTTAGCCCCATGCAAAGGGTCAGTACAGGGGCAAGACCCTCACTTAAATTATTCAAACCATAAGGAAGTGATCTGTGCAGCCATACAGCTTTTGCTGGGCCTGTATGCCAGGAGATTTTTCATCTTCATCAACTGTGTTCAAGATTTCTCTTTGGCACAGTGTGGCTGCATTGAAACTGCTTTTCAGATAGAAAGAATCCGTGACCTGTGTAACATTCACGTTTCATTCTGCTTCATCATAGAGTTCAAATTCCTTCTCTCTGTCTTCCCTTGGAAGAGTTTCCTTCTTGCTGTTCTAGGTTCTTATGTCCATGAATAGTGAGCCAAAAATGATACTTAAGCAGAGTGTTTCAATCCTTTAAATATTGAAGGCATTCTGAAGTGACTAGTGTCCTTGACTAATTTTGTAACGTTAGTCCCACTGACAAGCAGAAGATAAGCCTGAGTTAAGAGCTGTGGTTTAGTAGCCTGTCAAGAACACTGAGATGAGCACTGATAGTTTTGTCTGTGTCTTTCTCTAATTAGCTTCTGCTTTTATACACAACTACGCATCCCATCACAGCTTCCTTCATTACCTCCTCGCATTTACTCCTGCTGAAGACGTCCTCCTGCCATATGATCTGGTATTTTCACAGAGGATGACAATGCCGTAATTATTTTCAGAAGAAAAGTACTCTTCTAGCTCAACATGCTGAAGGGGCCAGGGTGGGGAGGGCAAGTACTTTTGAAAAGACTCATCCAGTTACCGTGTGTTTATGTGGAGAAGCATTATGTTCAGATCTGGGACACTGAGGGACCTGCTTCCCAACAGCTACTCCAAACCCAGACAATGATTGTGGGGCCAAGAACGCACAAAGAATTAGGAAGAATATCTTAGCTTTATCGTTGAAAATGTGATGCTTTGTGTTTGAAATTCAAAATAGCTTTGTCAGTGTTGGTGAAGAAAGAGATAATAAATAAAATGTAAATGAGTAAAGTTGTTCAGTGTTATGTGTTGATACTCACTGAGAAGTTTCTCTTTGTCCATAGGGAATGACTCTGCATAAAAAAGCAGCAGAAGATAGACTGGCTAGTACAGGCTCAGGACAATCCTTCCTGGCTAGACAAAGGCAAGCCACGAGCACAAGGAGATCTTACCCTGGTCATGTCCAGCCAGCAACAGCAAGGTAGAGAAGCCTTGCCCTTAGAAAGAAAACTGCCCTGTGATCCAGGCCACTTCTGTTGCAAGTGTCAACATTCAAGGAAAATCAACCAGCATCCTTTCTCTTTCTCCCTTGTTACTGCTATTAATTTACAGTTCAGGAAAGGGTTTTATTATGGTTTCTCATTGTTCTCTAACACCCTTTACTTACATTTTTTGGAGTCCATCTCTCTCTCTCTCTCTCTCCATTTTTTGAATGTGCCAAAGTTTTGAAAACATCTAGAGGAGTGCTGTACAATAACAGTCTTATTTGTATGAAGCCTGGTCTCTTAAGAAAAGCCTCATATGGGCTGTGTAACAATGTAAATTTCCTGTCACAGTTGATACGTTTGTGCTTATAAGGGTTGTTACACTTCGTAAGACTCTTTGTTCAAAGGGAATTAGGCTTTTTATTTCATGTGCTAACCTGTTGCTTCAAAGAAATGCTGAAAACTCATTACAGAAATGAAAAATTAGTATATATCATTGTGAAATATATTTGCTACTAAAAAAACTACCATTGGCAAAAAGATTTTTTTTTTTTTCAATCTCCTACATGCAAAGTTTGCTTTTATTCTTAATATGGAAGCAGGATAATTTTTTTCAGGTTTTTCTTTATCAACTGGTGTTACCTCTTTTGCTGGCAGAGCTGAATATTTCAAATGGTTTGTGCCACTCTTCTTGGTCAAGTGTATGCTTAATACATATTATTAAAAGATTGAGAAATATTTAGAATGCTCTAATATGCTACTGTATCATCCATTTAAAAAGGACATTTGTTTAAAAAATTTTTAACTATGGGTGAACAGTACATAATGGATCAAGGCCCTGATTAATATTGTTGTTCGTGTATTCCAATTGTCATCCCCTACTAAAAGACTTGCTTTTAATATGTTGATTCAGGGTATAATTGTATCAGTTGCCTTACTAATGGTACCAGTGCCTTCAGGTGAGTTTGTTGCTGACTTTGTTGGAAACGGGATGTGATTTGTTGTATTGCCTTTTTAGTGTGTAGCTGGTTAATTGTACATTACTCAGTGTAGCACTTTCATGTTGATCAGTGAGGTGGATGGTGGCCCGTACTGTTAATTTAGGTTTTGTTCCTACAAAGTTCTGCTCTT